TTTCTACAGATCAAGATTTAATACATCATATATAAATAGCAAATAATCACATAAAAACATCCATTCTATCATCTAGATCAATACAATAGCAACAAGAATAAAGAGGTGTATACTTTTTTAAATAAGGAATAACCAATTTTTTTTTTATTGAAAAATACAATCTTTTAATAAATCATCAATTTTGAAAATTCTTGAAGTGCAGTAAACAATATTAATACACCATAGGTTAAAAATAAATTAAAGATTGTGGGATAATAAACCCCACTACTTTGGTAGCATCATTAAAATTTTTGCACAATCTGTCCCAATTTGTTGGATATAAATTTAATATCCTCAATATTTAGTACAAAAAAAACATACATAATTCATATAAGAAAAGACTGTTTAGAATTCCCATATGTTTGAATTCCAAACGAGTTGGGAAGCATCCCTTAGAAAAACGTTTTGGTCTGTTATAATTTTTCTTTACAAAATTTAGCTCCAACCTTTTCATACACTTGGGGATGTGTCCATAAATATGAAATAAACTTTTTTTAATTGGAGAAATAAAAGAATCGTTTTACTCTTGTAACAACATAAAATTTAAAAACATGGCAATGCACATCTTATATGAAAAAATTACGCAACCAATATTTTGGTTCACATTTTTTCAGTTCAAACTAATTTGATCTAGTATTTGCAGAAGCATTGATCAAATGAAAATTGAAAAAATTTTTTTTGTCAACTTATATTCATCTAAAAATTGAACCAATTACTCTATAATATTATTTGCAGTATGTTATGCATCAAAAACAACGAAAAAACCAATATTCTTTTTTGAATATTTCCAATCATCAATCAAATCCAATGAACATGTAATACCCATGATAAGAATGCATTTGCGCATGATCACTCCAGAACATCAACAACAAATTGAAAACAACGAATTTTCAATGGATAAAAGCTTCTAACTCTTTTTCATTTGTTTATATAAAGAAAATAATAGTTTCGTTTTACAATATTTCTGTATCTTTTTTAGCACAAGGAATTTAAAGCTTTTTTACAATAATATTAAAACCATAGCTTTTGCAACACAAAACAAAGATAAATGTTTCTCCATAGAATTATCATGTTATCATTTTTGCTAATTCTTCTTTTTATATTTTTTCAGAATATTTAAATAAAGAAAGGTTAGAAGCGTACCCGGAAATTTGTTGTTGAGACCGATCAACTACTATTTTTGTTGGATGTTTTGCCTCCAAATGCTTCCAAAATGATCCATAGCCGTCCGCTTATTTAAATTTATAAGATTTTCCACAATAATTGCAAATTATATCGTACATTTTCTCACCTTTGAATTTTCTTGTGAAATAAATGGAGAATATGTCGGAACTTTGTCTTACTCTTGTAACAATTTTTGCTCGTTGCTCTTGCTCTTGCTCTTCATCTTCTTGAAATTGCTCATTAATTGCTCAATTAAATTCGGAATTCTTGAGTTGAATATCCAATATCTTCATTTTGGGAAAACACTCAAAAATTAAATTGGTCGGGAATCATATCAAATAGATTCGTTTGTAAAGGATATGATGATTCTCCAATTTTTTTTTCCCTTGCCCCTTACCCGATTTGGTTTCTCTGCTTTTATGATAATAAAATATAATTTAGAAAATTCGTAGTACGAGAGACTAATTACTTAAATAAAGAAGAAGATTGTAAGAGTAGAGAAGAATAAATTGAATATATAAGAAGTAGATGTAGTTATATTGTAGAGAGAGTAAGTTAGATGGTGTGTTTTGTGAGAGTAAGTAGAGAGAGTTGAGAATTTTTTTGTAAATTGAATTTGTAAATAAAATGGGGTATTTATAATAAATACTAAAATTTCATTTTTCCAAAAATACCCTTGAAAACTAAGCCGTTAATATAGCTCGTTTAATGGCTGTTGGGAGGGGGTAATAAGAGCATTTCAGCAACAAATTTAGAATTGCAAATCTGACAGTTACAAAACGCTAGAACCGCCGTTCGAGGACCAATTTGAACCGGCGGTTCCGACCCGAATTCCTCTGGAAACCAACGCGGTTCTGGTTCCTCATTTGCTGAACGCGGAACCGAACCGGAAATTTTATTCAGTTCGCGGTTCCCGGTTCGTACCGGTTCTGGTATCTCACCCGGTCCGGTTACGTTCCGGGCCCGGTTCCGGTTCCGGTTCGTCCCGGTTCTGGTTCTCACCGGTTCCGGTTACGGTTCCGGGCCGGTTCGAACCGACGGTTCCGGTTCCCGGAACCGTAATATGGCCATGGCTGTGTTTGATTATATAAATTATGTTCTCTTGCTCATTTTATTAATTAAATATTTTAATCTTTGATTGGAATAAAGTATTTTTTTTAAAGAAAATAATTATAAAAAATACTTAAGAAATTCTCTTATTTAGAAAAGGGAAATAATGAAGTAAGTAAAATTTAACTTATTTTTCATCATAGCCTACATTTTAGAAATCTCTACAATTTAAAGAGAAAGTCCGTAAAAGAAATCAAGAATTTCACTACTTTTAAAAATTTATTCAAATACCTTAAAATTTTCAAAAATTGTCAATTTTTAAATTTCTCTTGATCGTATAATTGTCAATTTCAATAACGATATCCTCTTTTCTATAAAATTATTTAATTTCTAAATAAAAAATAGTATAATTTATTTATTTTCTTTTATTATATTTAAATATAAAGATAAAAGAATAACTATGAAAAAGAAAATTGCTTATATTTCCTTTCCAAACAAAGTCTTAATGTTGGAACTAATAGATCGTGTGAAATAAAAATTAAAAAAGGAAAAGGAAAATGATTAGTATTATGGTTTGGTGCATTTTGGACTCATAACGTGAAAGAAGAATGATTACCAATAGCTTTAAGGTAGGTTTAGTGCAATGATGAAATATGGTTTATTTGACTGACATTTACATATTGTTTACATTAACTTTGTTTTGATGTCATGGATTCTTACACTTTATGCCCACATCAAAATTATTTTTTTAAACTATACACGTTTATTTAATTACTTAAAACCTTAAAAAAAGCACTCGCACCACCATCTAGCTACCTTGTTTTTGTTGCCTTCCTCTTGTTACCTGTAAAGTTACATTGCTTTCAATTATTCCTTATCTCCTATCAATTTTTATTATACATTTGCCTTCCATGCGTTATCATATCTATCTACTATTGTTTTTTCGTTGCCAACCTTTACTTGTAGTGTATGTATAAAGACATGCCAACTTGTCTAGTTCTCTATATATTGTAACTTGGGTTAGTGATATATAATTTCATTAATATATATCGTATGATCTTAATTTTATTTAATTGATTAAATAATACTTAGATTTTGCCAATTAAATGTGGTTTGATTTGTATTTTCACTTATATGTAACGTGAGAAATCTTACGTTCATGTTCTCTCGACTATGAGTATTTTCATCAATTTGGTAAATTCAAAGGAGGCTACCCCGATTATTTAGTCCGTAATGTTGTTAGGTCTGCATGCGTGTGTCCCACACGTTGTAGAAGCACTTAAGTGCACTTTGTTGCAACTATATGTATATAAGATGCGTGTGCATGGCTATTATTATCTTTTTCTGTTTTTCCTTTTCTTCTTTTTCCCCATCATTTATGTGTATGACATATTTTTTTTTGTTGCCCTCTTCATTTACATTTTGGGTGGGTATTATTTTCCATCATCATTGGTTATGCCTTTCTTCAAAAATATCATTAGTCTATAAATAATTAAATAAAATTAAAAAAATATAGGTCACTTGTAATTTGTCGTCTTCGTAATTTTGTTTTACTAATCATGCTTTCTCTCCTTAATCTCTTTCCAACGGAGAAGTATTGTTTAAAAGTGTTTCTAAACACCGTCCCAAAAACAATCAATTTCTATTTAAAAAAGTAACCCCGCCACAAAAAAAAAAAAAAAAAATCCCAAAAACAATCAAAGGTTTCTATTTAAAAAAGTAACCACCGCCACAAAAAAAAAAAAAAAAAAATCAATTCACATTTTTCTAAATGGATTTTATTAAAAAATATAAAAAACTTTTTAATACTAGAAATTGTAAATAAAAATATTAATTCTAAAAAAAAAAAAAAAAAAATCAATCACATTTTTCTAAATGAATTTTATAAAAAATATAAAAAATTTAATACTAGAAATTAATAAAAATATTAATCTAAGACTCCAATGGAACTGTTTTTCTTAATTAAACAAAAAATCATTTTCTCCTTTTTCTAAATTATTTTCATGAACTAAGTTGATCACCTAAAATTAATAAGTTCTGTTAAATTTGTCAATTGTTGATTTTTTAAAAAATTCTATTAGCATTTTTAAAAAAATTAAAATAATATTAATTATTTTATTTTAATTTTATCCTTGTCTAGATATATGCATTAAACTTTGTTTCAATTAAATGAATATTAACTAAAGGTATAATTAGTCAATTATTATTATTTTTCTCCTAAAATTAAGATAATTCAATCAATTTCTTAATTCTTTAAAAAGTAAAAAAAATGAACAAATTTAACAAAATGGACCGAGTAAACTTACTTAAGCGGCTACATGCAAAAAAATATTTATGGCAGACAATGTCATACACATCGAAATCAAATTAATTTTATATAAAAAAAATGACGTGGAGATACTTTTTTTTTTTTGGCAAAAAGGTCAACATTTTTGCATGAATTGAATAATTACTCGAAATTACGAGGCAAATAGCATATTTACTGGCCTGAAAAACAGATTCTTTACTAATAAATCGTTGTCCGAGTCATTGTACTCGCACACACCGGTACTAGTTTAACCGACCAAACGAACCCTGACGTTGTACAGTAAAAAACACAAGTGTACCCTACAGCTCGGCGCGCCACATAAGCCAATCCATTCCCTTACACTTAACCAAACCAAATGCATTCACATGTAAAATAACTAACCTATGAGTTAATTCCTTACCCAACTCCAGTTTAGCTTACTCGAGCCGCGCCACTAAAACTCTCTCTCCTCCTCCTCCTCCTCTCTCTCTCTCGTCTGTGCAAGTCCCTCTGCAGCTTTCTCTGTCTAAAAGTCACTCGTGGAGACTTGAGAGAGCCATGGCCATTGGCCAGCCATTTCACTAAACTTTTTCCACAAACGAACTAAGCGTACTGTCTCTAATACTTCACAATACGGTGCGTGCAGTTAGGAGGAGAGAGAGATCTGGTTTCGGTTTTCCGGCGAAATGGAGGACGAGAAAGGAGCGATAGTGCAGAGTTTGATTGACACAGTGCACGATATAGCTTCGATCTCTGATTATAGGTGTACGGTCAAGAAACAGTATTGCAATTTGGCTAGGAGATTGAAGCTTTTAACGCCAATGTTCGAGGAGATTAGAGAAAGTAAGGAGCCGATCCCTGATGAGTCTATGAAAGCTTTAGTTTTGTTGAAAGAAGCTTTGGATTTAGCTAAGGAGTTGCTTAGATTTGGTAGCGAAGGCAGCAAGATCTACCTGGTGTGTATGTGTTTTCTTTCTTTAGATTTTTAGTGCTTCTGTTTGGATTTGGATCTGTTTGGCTGCTGAGAAAGTAAAGGAAAGTGGTAGCGACCAAAAACTATTATTGGCAGTAGCATTTCTGTGAAAATATGAATATTTTATTGTGTATTATGTTCTTATTCCTTTTGGATTTTTGGGTACGTTAAAAGAGTCGACTTGATTCGGTTATATAATTTTGTGCTTAAGCAAAATAATGAGGAGGAATACCAGACTCCATTTTTTTACAATTACATTTTTAATTATCAAAATGGAGTAGCAATTCGTTGAAAAGTTTGAAGCCGATTTGCTTCTAATTTCGGTTTTTATGCTGAAATTGATCAGCTGTGTAGGAACAAGATGTTGCTGCTGAATTTGTCAATTTTGCTCCCCTTTTAGCTTCTGTCATAATCATATAGTAGATTTCAGGAAGTGTGATGAACTAGAATCAGTCAGTTACATGCTTTAACGCGATTTCTGTTGATTTCTTTGACTCTGATATCGATAGAATGTTTGTTATGTGTTTTATGAGCATCCATTTCATTTGTGGATCTTGGTATTTGATTCTTCTCTTAATATTTCTTTATTAATGATCTTCTTTTGTCTCCATTTGTCTTGCCTATACTAATTGTATCAAGATTTATTATTCGGGTATGACCTTGTCTCTTGTTATGTTTTATACAATCCGTCCCTGATTCTGTGGCCATACCTATGGCTTGATGGGTATTAACTTGATTTATCATAATATTATGGGAAGGTGGAAGGACATGTTTTGATACATTACCTATTTTCCAAAATGCATGTTTGTCATTCTGTATCCAGCTAAAAAAGAAAAATGATGTCAAATTTAATGTTGTTTGATCTTCGGTTATTAGAAGTTGGCACACTGTTTCATGCAATCATGGGTAGATTCCGTCCTCCTTTTCTGATTGATGAAACTTTATTCTGCGGATCAGTTTCTGCTATGAGATTCATTAAAGGAATTTTGATGGTGGGCTCTGAGTTCTTGATCATTTAGCTAAATATAATGTTCCTTCCCTCTATTTCTGGTGTTACTTTAATACTTCTCAGAGATCCATGCTGTGTCTGAAGTATTCTTGTTACATGTTGTTTGATTACCTATGCAATAATTTAGGCTTATCTTGTTTTATGTCTTTTATTAAGGGATGATAGTTTCTGGGATCTAGGACCTTAAGATCATATGGAAGTAGGGGGAAAGTTATTGGTTCCGAGTTCAGTTTTCCACCCCCTCCCCTTCTCTCTCCCCTCCATATTCATTCATCTATTTATACTATCTCGACAAATTCCCATCAAAATTTTAATCATATAAGTCTTAACAATAAGAACTACAAATATTCGTAAGAGTTTTCCATGAGTTTTTGTAATGGTATTCAGTTAGGCATTCTTTCTCACTCTGAACACACTGAAGACTGCTAAATATTCAGCAGAAACTTTTTCCAAGGCTTTTTAACAGACATCTGCTCAGGCTATAGCCAGTGGCGGAGCGACGTACAGTTGAGGGGGTGCACTAACTTGAAATTTTTTTCCAGACAACCAATAATATATCTATAAAGTGAATCCCTTAAATTGTTAGATTTATAATTTGTGAACCCCCTTAAAATATACTATACACGAGTGCCCTCCCTGACCCTAGGGTCCTAGCTTCCCCATCTTTGTTAAAAATGAAAATGCATCTGAGCATTGGGTCGCTTTCTCTACCTTGCCATAATTGACTCTGATTTTATGTTAAGTTTTTACGATTTTTTCCTGGTTTTGAAGTAATATAGGTGCTAATCTGGAAAGAGCTGCTGTTTGCTTTGTGAAGTATGTCTAAATACTGCTTATCATCTGACCTTATGAGTGTCGTATCTAATTTTTATTTTGTTTTTTCTATTTGAAATTTCGCATTTTCATTCTGCTTGTAGGTCTTGGAGAGGGAACAAATTATGAATAAATATCATCAGGTGACAGCTCAATTGGAACAAGCCCTAAGTGGAATTTCCTATGAAAATCTTGACATATCAGATGAAGTTAAGGAACAGGTAGAAGATCAACAAACAATTACTGCTGTTCTCATGTTATACAGATATAACTATGACTCTATCTAGCTACCATTTTCTCCTATCTTGTTTTACCAATTAACCTATTTGTGGTTGATGATGCCAAGATGCTCACTTGGGCATCATAATTATCATATAATATTCCAGTATAAGCTTTATTTGGCACCAGAATCTCTCTCTTTGTTTAATGTTAAGATAATCTACACTCATAAAGTCTAGAACTTGTGATACTTTAAAACAACTTTTGTCACATCTTTTATCCCTTGCTCAAAAGATAAATAAAAAGGACAAATAGCAATAATAATCATAAAAAATTTTCAAAAGGATACGTCAGTGTTTAAAAAAAACTCTAAATGGCCCCTAAACAGCTCCTATTCTATTGTTTTCACACGTTGCATTTTCATAATTTTGTTCAGGTTGAGCTTGTCCTTGCACAGTTCAGAAGAGCAAAAGGAAGGGTTGATGCTCCTGATGTTGAACTGTATGAAGATCTCTTATCCCTTTACAACGAGAGCAAAGATGCAGCAACAGATCCAGCTGTCCTTAAAAGATCTTCTGAGAAGTTACAGTTGATGGGGATAGCAGACCTTACACAAGAGTCATTGGCTCTGCATGAAATGGTTGCTGCCACTGGTGGTGATCCTGAAGAGAACATTGAGAAAATGTCGATGTTGTTGAAGAAAATTAAAGATTTTGTGCAAACAGAAAACCCCAACATGGATGCTCCTTCAAGAGAAAAGAATCTTCCCCCAAGTGGCAGTGGACAAGCTTCCATGAATGGGAATCACAAAACCCCAGTTATACCAGATGACTTCCGCTGTCCAATATCCTTGGAATTGATGAAAGATCCTGTTATTGTTTCAACAGGGCAGGTATATGCATGTTGTATTTCTTGTCCTAAAATACCAAGAAAATAGTTTTGCCAATCTGCTTGTTGATTAGAATATAAACATGAAATGTTGTGAATATGATTCTTGTCATCTGAGACCTATCTTTAGATTCTTTAAGATGAAAGTTCCCATGCTGGGTGGTTATAAACACCCGAGGGATTTAGTTTGAACTTGATCCAAATCTTGCTACAAGTCTTGCTAGAAATACTCCTTGTCTGAGCACAGACTTGAGACTTACTCTGTCCTTCTACACAGTTTTTTAACTGGTTCCCTTTGTCTTTGCTGTAGACTTATGAGCGTTCCTGCATTGAGAAGTGGCTGGAAGCAGGACATGGCACATGTCCAAAGACACAACAGACCCTTACCAGTACGGCACTCACACCAAACTATGTACTCCGCAGCCTTATAGCCCAATGGTGTGAAGCAAATGGAATTGAACCACCAAAACGACCCAGCAGTTCTCGATCAAACAAAACCACATCTGCCTACTCACCTGCTGAGCGTACAAAAATTGAGATTCTCCTTCACAAACTCACATCTGGTAGCCCTGAAGACCAGCGAGCTGCTGCAGGTGAAATTCGCCTCCTTGCCAAGCGTAATGCAGATAATCGTGTGGCTATTGCTGAAGCTGGTGCAATCCCTCTCCTTGTAAGCCTCCTCTCCACGCCTGATTCCCGTACACAAGAACATGCAGTTACAGCACTTCTTAACCTTTCCATATGTGAAGATAACAAAGGAAGCATCATATCAGCTGGGGCAGTTCCTGGTATAGTGCATGTACTCAAGAAGGGTAGCATGGAAGCTCGGGAAAATGCTGCAGCCACCCTCTTTAGTTTGTCTGTTGTGGATGAAAACAAAGTTACAATAGGTTCTTCAGGGGCTATCCCACCACTTGTGACTCTTCTAAGTGAGGGAACACAAAGGGGGAAAAAAGACGCTGCGACTGCACTTTTCAATTTGTGCATTTATCAAGGCAACAAAGGGAAGGCAGTGAGGGCTGGAGTTGTACCCACACTAATGCGTCTGCTAACTGAACCTGGAGGTGGAATGGTGGATGAAGCACTCGCAATTTTAGCAATATTGGCCAGCCATCCTGAAGGGAAGGCAGCTATTGGAGCTGCAGAAGCAGTCCCAGTTTTGGTGGAAGTTATTGGGAATGGATCTCCAAGAAACCGGGAGAATGCAGCTGCAGTTTTGGTGCATCTTTGTTCTGGAGACCAAAAACATTTGGCTGAAGCACAGGAGCTTGGAGTAATGGGGTCCCTAATAGATTTGGCCCAAAATGGGACGGACAGGGGAAAGAGAAAGGCTCAACAGTTACTGGAACGTATGAGCCGGTATGTTGAGCAACAAAAGCAGGGTCAGGCACAAATTGAGTCTCAATCTCAAGCTCAACAGCCATTACCATCCGCCACTGCAAATTCTGCTGATAGCTGACATTTTTTGTCTACCATTTACTTGATTGGTTTTTTTTTCTTGTTTCTTTATCGGAGAGGCAGCCTTGGTTTGGAGGGGAAGGTGGAAGATCACCTGTCCAGTTAGTAAGTTATTCATTTTGTTTGTGTTGGATGAGGACTAAAATTGAAAGAAGGTTATGCAGAGATCAATCAATGGCGAAAGAGGAAGAGGGAAAAAAAAAAAAAAGAAAGAAAAGAAAAAAGAAACTTGGGACGCATCTGACGTGTATTTGAATTGTATACCATTTACAACATGTAATCATCCTCAGTTTTAATTGAAGAGATGTTTCCTGTATTCCAAATGAAATGATGTGATGGAAATGAAGAAATTAGAAATGAAACTATATGTTTTGCTACTAATTTGTTTTACAGAATGTTTGGTCTAAATGAACTCTTATAACATTTTCTGTCATTTGTCTGTATAACAATTTGTTTAGAGACGTAGCAAATCTCAGTACCATCCGACCCGAGGATGGCCAGATCGGATAATTTAAAAGGGTTGGGCCCGAAATGTGGAAACGGTCTAGGCTTAGAGATAATATGTTCAAGCCTGGTCCAGTAACATGTCCACCTAAAATTTAGGTCTTCAATCTTATAATATCTTGAATTTTATGGATGATACATTTAAACTTGTAAATTTTGATTTGGATTTATTTTTATACTAACAATAATAGTATTTACTATTTACAATTTTTGACTTTTATATGTCAAGTAATGATTTGATATATAATTAACATAATATTGTAACAATAAGTTTCTATTTTTCGACTATTTAATAGGTGTTTAATTGATATAATTTTATAAATTGAAGTATTAGGTTAGAGTATTTAATATGTAGAATTTTAGAAGTTTAAGTGTTTGATAAATCAAAGTAAAAATTAAAGTTAAAGTAATAAAGTTTAAGAGTGAATTTATATATTCAGCCTTCTCCATCTTTAGTCTACGGCTGATAACTTTATTTAAAATGGAGTATTTTTTCATAGTTCTAGGAAAATACAATTTAAATCAATAAATAAATTTCTTTCAAATTAAAAAAATAAAACTTTAAAGATCCATGTGATACCTAGACTTATCAAAAGATCCAAATTGTACTATTGAAGTTGTAATATTCATTATAAATAAATACATTTAAGGCATGATAGTTCATTAAAATTGTTACTAAAAATTGTACTCATAAGTTATATCAATCCCCATAAATAAGATTGTTCTTAAAAATTTACAATAGGTCTCTTAAAAATTTTAGAGTGTCATACTCACAGGGTTAAAACCTTAAAATTCAAGGGCAATTTTATATATTAGATAAATAAAATTCTTTATACACTTCCTAATTAGTCCATCCTCCTAACCAAACAAGCTTCTAATCTCCCTATATGATATATCTAGTATTTTGGGATACTTTTGTAACACGTGCCACTTGCTTTTAGCATGGTCCCTCCCCTGGACAATCTCCTCTCTCCTACGGCCAAGTCAACAGTGAATTCGAATAAGGCAAAGAAAAATAATAATAATAAACTTTAAAAAAAAAAAAAAAAGATTCTAGACTCTAAGTGCTTATTATGCCACATGTTCACTGGATATTTGAATTCAGTTGAGTAGAATATTTTTATTTTGAAGAGGTAGAATTTTCTAGATCTCAAATATTAATTTCTCATATCAAGAAATAAAATGTTAATTAAAGGCAAGCCTCTATTCCTAAAGGTTGAGATGGGATGACAAAGATTTTTTTTTTTCTTTAATCAAAATCTCAAATTCAAACTCTGAATATATAATTCGTTTAAATATTTGAGAGAGAGCGATTTATCCTCTTTATAGACTTATCCGACGCGAATCTGAATTAATTGGACTAATGAGGTTCGAATACCGCATAATTGAAATAAAAAAAAATTAAAGGCAACCCTCTTATTCTTACCCGTTAGCAACCCGAGTGGGTTGATTGGGGCTAACTTAAAAAGAAAAATATTCTGACTTTGTTTTGCCATTATATTGTCATTAATAATTATATATGAAATTATTTTAAAAAGAGTATGGAAATATTGGTGAAAAATCTTAAATATATATATAGTTAAATATCAAAGCGTTAAAGGATTTATAGATGACTTTTTTTTGTCTATAACTATCGCTATCCAAAAATTTATTTAATTCCGACTATGTTGGATTCAAGTACTGTATAGTCTATATAGAAAGCGACTCTTCCAGCGTGACGACTTTCATATACCCCAATCGAATTTAAAATTTTTAATTAAGAGAGAGAATGCCAATTATCCATTCCAACCAATCATATGTCTTTTTTAGTTAACATGATTCCCGTTTTTATAACCACGTTGTTTTCTCATAAGTGCGAAACCAAATGTTTGTTCAAATTAATTTATGAAAATTATATAGAAAATTAGAAAGAGTATAAGAATTCATTTTTTCCAATCATTATCTGCAAGTTCATATGAATCAACAAATAGAGTAAGGATAGTGTTTGACATCACTAATGGATTGACTTCACTTATGAGGGTTCTCTTCATCTAACCAAACAAAACAAAAGAAAAAGAAGAAAACAATTAAATCTTAAAAGAAAGAACGAACCAGATAAGTTATGTGTTAAAGTTAATAAAAGATTGGGGGAAAAAAGCAATTACGTCTGCATTTCTTTGTCTGGATAATCGAAGGTCCCACGCCACATTTCCCCATGAAGAAGGAAGAAAGCCACAAAAAGAAAAAGAAAGGGAAAATGCAAATTGCATATGTTAATATTAATTAGGTTTTTTTTTTTAATTTAAAGGATATATTTATTTAAGCCATTTTATTAAAAAAAAGCGAAATCTTTCCATTTAAAAAAATGTTTAATTAAAGACAAAGAGATTACATTTTGAACGAAACCACTTAACAGTATAATTATTTCTCATAATTATATAATTATTCGATTGGAATGAAACCCTTATCTTTTGTAAGGAGTGATGACATAGGATTCGGAAACACCTCAAACAAAGGTGCATGACATCATATGCATAGACAGAGTCGATAAAAAGGAGAAAAGGAAGATTGATAGGGTGAAAAAGCGGAGGCAGAACTAACAGAAGAGAGAGCCGAACCATTATAACGTCAATCAACGTGGTCATTATAAACATGAACTCAGAGAGACACAGAGAGAGAGAGAGGTTTTTGTGGATTTTTGAGCCTGCTTTTGATTGGTCTTTACTTGTTCGTATTCTGAATTATGATCATCAACAACGCGCCCCAACAAAAACTATTTACTCTTCTTCTTCTTCTTTTCTTTTTGGGTAAATTATTATTTGCTTTTTAAATTTTACAATTAATTCCATAATAAGCTATTATTTAGTTTTTAGATTCTGAAAATACCGTATTTAGTTTTTTTTATGAATTTAAATGTTTTTAGTTTATTTGCAATTGTTTCACGGGCAGACCGATATGGTATTTAAATAAATCATTCTCAAGAATAATGATTTTAGATTTCAAACTTCTATTTTGCATCTAGAAATAGAATTATTTGTTGGATTCAAATTCATACTCTCAAAAACCCTAAAAAAAAAAAAATCAATGGATGATTATAGTTAAGTACCAATTAGTATATTAGGTCAAATTCTACAAAACAGAGGCAGAGCCATTTATATATATATGAACTTATTTTTAGCATCAGAACTAACGGTTGAATTTCACTTTCCAAAAACTACGTCCCATGAGCAGAAGCTTTGCGGGTTGTGTCTATTCTGGTTTTTATCGCTTTATTCGTTCTTACAAGCCAGCCTTGCTCCGTGCAAAGGCAAAATCCCAGCCTTTGCCCTTTCTTTTTTTTTTTTTACATATGAGACCACACACATCCCAGTACTTGAAAAAATATATATATATATATATATATATACACTGCTTGTTACATAAAATAAAGTATAAGACTGGAAATTTTGTTTATTTCAAACCTTGGTTCTTTTTTTTTCTGAATTAAATATTATCTCTCTATTTCACTTCGGTTCATATTATTTATTTAGGCAAAAGTTGGATATTTATTTTGTTTTAACATAGAAAATACACCGTAAATGCCTTGTATTATGCTCGAGACAAACATTACGTTTATATTATTAATACTATTTTTTGAATTTACTCATAAGAAGTTATGGTTAAGTTTTATTTGCCTCTCCAGTCTATTAAAGATAAGTCATCTATGAACTAGGGGATTTTGTCATTAAAAAAAAAAAAAAAAAAAAAAAAAAAAAAAAAAACTCTTTTTAGCAGTTTGATTCAAAAATTTAAATTCCAATAAGTGCAATTTTATAACTCTGAAGTATTTTAGAAGTCAAATAAAATTAACAGTACCACAAGATTAAAATAGATAAAGCTTTCAGAGGTAAATTATGTATTTAAAAACTCCAATTAAAGGTAATTGTGAACGGTTGACGTCGATATAAACATTGAGAATTCTTTCAAAAAAAAAAAAAAAAAAAAAAAAAAAAAGATTATCATTCACTAAATATCAATAGAAAACCGATTAGTTGGCTAACTAGAACAGTGGAGGAAAAGTGTTAATGTTAGCTGAATTGCAGTGAACGTTTTGATATGGACAAAAGGTCTGTCAAAAGGTGTCCACTTCTTTTGACCAATATATATATATATATATATATATATATACATAAAAAATAGAATTTGAAACAGTGATAGTTTGTGGTAAAGAAATTCTAGAACACTTGTCACTTAAGGTTTGGTTGAAAATGGAATTCCATTGCATGGTTTTTAGTGGGATTCTTGGCGTTTTCTTTGGATTCTTTGTCTTTCCCTTCACTTCAACTCTCTGTTGCTCTTTCCCACTCACCAAACAAAGCAAACAAAGCAAATAAAACAAACAAAACAACAAATAATAAGTACGTTCCTTCCTTATAATTACAAAATCATTACGATAGCTACCTTCTCTCTCTCTCTCTCTCTCTCTCTCTCTCTCTCTCTCCATCTACACAGACTTAGATGCATGGATTTTCAAGATATATATATTTACATAATAACAGTTCTCTCTGCAAACTATATAAGTACAGAACCTATATATGTAGCTCTCATATACTATAAACGTGAGACAAGAAGAAGCTTTGAGTAAATTCTAGTTTTGCGACATATATAGAGGTTTGGAAAATATGGGAAACTGGCGATGTATCAGTATCCCTAACTGGTCTACAGATAAGGTGATACATCATTTATCAGTTTAGTTCTTTAGAACACAGTACAGAGCGCTGAACTTGATCGATATATTTCCATTCTTTTTTAGTGAAAAAAAAAATATTAGTACAACTTTTTTCTAAGTGATCTACTTACTGAAATCAGAAAGAGAAATATCAGAGCGAAATACATAAACATACTTAAAGTAAACAGGGATAGTCAAGTTCAGTCAAGCTTCTACAACAACTCTCTCTCTCTATATATATATGTACTTATCCATACCCAGAAGCTAAAAATTCAAGATTTAGCCCTAAATTGAACTCTTTGTTATTATCCAATGTAAAAACCAACTGACTTGAATTATAAGTCATAATTGTGTTACTTCGTTATTTTTTAATGTGAAATCATTTCCCATCCAAGTGTTTCTTTTTCTTTGTAGAAGATCTTACCCTAATTTGGATAAGTCATAATTGTGTTACTTCGTTATTTTTTAATGTGAAATCATTTCCCATCCAAGTGTTTCTTTTTCTTTGTAGAAGATCTTACCCTAATTTGGATGATTCCATCAATAGACTAATGACGATAATGAAAATAACGCATGAAGACAATTTGACAAATTAATATAAGTTATATATAATGAGACTAGCTCATTGTGATATAATCATGTCAGAAACAACAAACACCATTCTCCTCGCTTCTTCTCTCTTTCTTACACACACACACACAAACTTGAACAAGCCCATAAAATAAATACTAAAAACACACAACTGAAACAAACAAAAAAAAGAAAAAAGAAAAAGAAATAGCAAAATTTAAAATAAAAACATTCTAGTACCATTTCTTGATTCTTCCAAATCGATCCGACAATGATCAAGATGCAGATTTTCTCTCATTGACCTCAAGCCTCAAGTTGAAACTTGCCATAAGTTAAGTAGCTTGGTTGAATAGAAGAACTTGCGTGCAACTTAATTCTGTGTCAATTGTCACTAGCTAGTGCTATATATGTAGTATTTAGTGGTAACTTATGTAAGTAAGCATGGAGCGGCTTCACATTTCAAATATTATAAGAGATGGCTACTGGAAGAAGAGTTGAGACCTGATAAATCTGTCCATGTATTTCCACTCCAAAATTGATTACTTTCTGAAATACCCAAAAATGGCTTCGACAAATTTAATCCTTGATTATTATCTTCCGTTTTAACTGGAGCAAACTGAGAAACCCTAGAACTTGAACTATTCATTGCTCCGAGCTGGCTCTCCCCTCCCGATGTTTGTTCATGAACACTTTCACTTTGAAATGGGTATAATCCGTTCGTTGGTGGCTCAAAGAAAGGAAATTGTTGCACTCCACCTGATAAAATGGCACTATTCATACCTGAATTATTGCTTGCTATATGAAATCCCATATCAGTTTGTCCGTTGACACCAGTAAAGTTTAGCCCAATATTTCCAACACCAAATTGTGCAGTAAGGTTATGTAAGGAGGCCATGAAAGGTAATTGGTTAGGTTGTGGAGTTAATTGAGTGATCATATCCGATGGAACTGAATTCGTTGAGTTTGAATTTGTACCCATTTGTCTTTCGCTGCTAGAAACTGGGGATTTTGAGTTATTTTGGCTTTTGCTTTTCTTGTTTCTCCTGCAACCACCACCAACCGGGACATTTCTAAGGGCGCCGCCTCTGGTCCAGTATCTCCGGCATGTTTTGCAGAAGTGGCGAGGTTGAGATAAACTATAATTATTGAAATAGCAAAACTTGGTATTTGAAGATTCACATCTTGGACACTTTAGGGCTGTCTCTGGTTGTGGTATTTTGGCTAATCGGGCTCGATCAGCCATTGAACCCGGTCGAATTGAACCAGTAACGCTACCGCCACCGCTGACATGAGGAGGAGGTGGTGGTGGAAGAGGTGGAAGGTGAGGATTTTCATTTGTAGCTCCTCCTTGCTGATTTGGGTTCTGTAAGAGAAAAAAAAAAATCAAGAAATTGTAAGTATGATAGAGTAAAATTAAATTTGGTATATTCAAGAAAAAGATTACAAAAGGAATAGGAATAATTATCTTTATCGATATGCTTCTTCTTTTCTTTTCTTTTTTTTTTCTTTTCTTCTTTTCAGGAAAAGAACGAAAATTCAAAGAAACTTAACCTTACCTGTTGCCAGTTAGGAGGATCTAAATAGACTGGAACTGAAGAGAAAACCATAGTTATTTTTTTGATCTTTTTTTTTTTTTTTCTTTTTATAAAGTTTGATGGGTCTTTAGGAAAGAAAATATGGTGGAGAATCACAATAAGAGAATACCAGAGCCAAGAAAGCAAAGAAAGAAAAGAAAAGAAAAGAAAAGAAAAGAGAATTAAAGGGGAAGGTGAAGGAAAGATAAGAGGGAGGCTTTTGCTTATTTTTCTCTCTTTTATTCTCTCATTCTAATCTCTTTTTGTTGTTTTATATTTTAGGGTTTTGAGTGGACGGAACTTTCTTCATCTATAAGCTTTGTTGATGCTGTGGACTACTCTACTCTGCGTTTTAGTGCTCAAGAAAAAGGCGAGGGTTGTGGCTCATATGCATGGAAGAGAGAGATGAACATGATTTGTTTTTTTTTTTTTAAAGAAAAGCTAATTATCACTATCTGTCCATTCTTGTGGTGGGATCTCCCCCACGTAATTAACATTTTATATAATTACGGAGCTTCATGTTAAGTAACTATATTTCTCAACCTATGTTAAAAATTTATGTTACTAAATTTCAAGTTCAAATTCTAAATAAAGTTTGAAAACTTAGAAAATTAAAACTTATTATAAAAACATTTTTAAGAATTCATGAGTGATGAAGAATCAAAAAGTATATCATAGGGGCTAATTCGGTGGCGAATGACTTATCTAATGAAGTCTTGTTGGAGGCTAGAGATCTCCAAATAATGCTATAGACTTTGTAAGTGGAATCTATTCTGTTTTTCCTTCAAGCAGAGGAAGTTAATTGGAACTTTTTCGCCTTGAATTGTTGGAGATTAGTTCGAAATTGTCTCCCTCTCTTTAAATTACATATATATACATAGCTCATTTCGATTTAGATAATACCAAAAAGAAAATAAAACTTTTGTCTCACAAATAAAATAATTTTTCTTGTAAAACTTTTGGCACTTGTGTCTTGACTTATTTCACTGCAGCAAGTATATTTAATTTATTATCACTTTAGTTTAATATTAAAAGTAATAATAAGAAACTAATACTATAAAAATTAATGTTTTTGTTAATGTTATAAAGACTTCTTTTTTTCTTGGTACGTATAGAGATTTATGTATATCAAGTGTTATAATTCTTGTTGTTGATATCAAATTTTTGCAAGAATAGACCATATAATTAAAGGGCATATACATATTAGTGATTGATTGTAGAATAAATAATTGGTTAATTATTTATATAAATAAGTTCATTTGTGTCTTGCTTGTAATAATAGACCAAAAAATTATTATATATATGATTTTTTTTAAAAGATTGATTAATTTTTCACTTTTTTTTTTTAGGGGTGAGATGTGATGGCAGGATCCTTTCTCCCTTAATCAAAAGTCTCAAGTTCGAACCTAAGTATGAAGTTCCATTAATACTCGAGAGGGAGCTCGAGCCCTAGATATGGAGTCACTTTAGAAATTCGGGAGGGAGCATTATACCCCTCTATGGGTCTGCCTAGTGCCAATCCGGATTAGTCGGGCTAGTGGGCTCGAACACCGAACAGTTAAAACAAAAAAAAGTAGATTTTTTTTTTGAGAAAAAAAAAAAAAAGAAGAAAAAAAGATGGATGTTAGCTAGGTGTAAATCTTTCCCGACTCTCAAGGAAAATACAAAAGATAGAAAGAAAGCTTTCCTTATTAGGGAGATACTAAATGGTGATATAAAAAAATATTGTGATATTTTGGAAATATACCTTAATTACAATATGTTCTATCAATAATCAATTAATAAAGTTGATGATAAAGAAAGGAAATGAAGTGAGAAATGTAGATCACTGTTCGATGTTTTGTATTGTTCTATCTAAGTGCTCAATAATCCAGCACTTTCCAACTTATGATAGTGATTTAAGCCCAATATATATAAGTTGATAGACAATTGGGAGAGATTTTTTTTTTTTTTTTTTTTTTTTTTTTAGACAATTGGGAGAGATTTTTTTTTTTTTTTTTTTTTTTTTTTTTTTGAGCTAGAAGTTGATAAAGATTTTTTTTTTTTTTTTTTTTTTTTTTTGAAGCTAGAAAGTTGATAAAGATGGATATATCTATATATATTATATTCATTCTTAAATCATACATGAACTCATAATAATATTCAAACACCAATCTGTAATTTGTCTTTCCTTTTCTTTTCTTCCTTTTTTTTTGTTTTCTCCAATTCTCTTTAGTCTTTACTTTCTTACTCTCTCCTTTTTCATAGATTAGGACTGCAAATAGAGTTCCTGTGTTTGGGATTACTTGGATGGAAACTTTTCCTTAGACCCAACCAAAATGGAAGGAAAGATAACACATAAGCCTGCCAATGGATATATATATCTTCTCCATTAAGGAATCTGCTCTCTAGCTTACATATGCAAGATTTTCAAGGAATTTATAAAAGTCTACCATTTTTAAGTACAGTTATTAGAGTTTTAGCAGAAACTATTTGTTTTGTTTTTGTATGGAGGGAAATAGGAGAGGGAGTTTCCTTGGGGGCCATGAGCCTTGTCTGTCTCTGACATTTGAAAATTCAATTTTATTAGCTTTAGAATTCAAAAGCCACTACTCCATCTGTCTAAAGCAACACACACCATTATATGCTTTAAACTTTTTTTCCTGCATATATGCATGGTCTCCTTTTTTGTTTTCCAATAAATATAAGAATTTTTTTTTTTTTTTTTGGATATTTGTTTTCTATTGCACCCACAAAATCACAGTATCCAATCCTTGGAGGAGTCAAACTTCCCAGTGAAGGCAACTAATTATATATAATATAGAAATTTAGTGAGTATTACTTTCTCTCATCTTGAATAATTAATTTACTAGAAGAAAAATCCAATTATATTATCTATAAAAAAAAATGGGAAAAAGGGTAAGTTTGATCTAAAGACTATCAATTAAAATATAAAATTTTAAATGAAGAGAATTAATGAAAAATCATATTTCTTAATGAGTATTTCACTTTTTGAGATCAATTATCATAAATCTGACACAAATAATTGGATGTCTGGGATTAGCTAAACTCCCCAAAAACTACCTAATAGTCATGCTCATACCCTCACTTTGAACCAACTCATAATCCAGACAGTTACTGAGTTGTTGAGTGTCAACTAATTAACCATAACTGATAGTTACATACACTAAGGTCGTGGAGCTACGATACACTCTTTAGCTCCAATTTCTTTTGCTGAAATGAAATTTCAAAATAAATTAGTTTCCTTTAGCAATCTATTAAATCTTAAACTTAGTAATATCATCTTTAACTATTCTGCGCTTATAAATTTCTGATTACATATAAAACACTCTTAAACGAATTATCTATTGTTTATATTTTTTTCTCGTTAAAAAATCAGCGAATCGGTCAGTTCACACAAGCGATGTTTTTTTATTTGGTTTTTTTATCCCTCCTGCTATTATCTTGAATATACTCAGGTTGGATGCTAATAATATATGAGTAAAAAAACAAGAAAAGAAATTAACACTATAGACGTGTATATTTAGAACAATGCATTGATGGTGGTGTAAAATATCAAGAGCATGTCAAATACTTCTTTCATAGTGTTAATATAAATATATAAAGACTTTTTTATTATGGAATTATATATATATATATATCAAATGATATTCCTGTTAGTATAACGGTTACTATAGGTCCACCTAATTAATATCCAAACCCACTCTTTTGGATTAGTGTTGAATGTAATACTGAACATATTTCCACACTATCAATAACAATTTTAACATACGATGAGTATTGAGATGAGTATACGATGAGTATTGAGATGAGTGGTTTGACAGCATTCTTCTTCCTTGAGTGGAGTGCGAGCGACGTGAACTACTCTAGTTTGAAATAATAAGGATTATTGTAATCTTAGAGACAATGATTTTCATATTTAAATAAATTTACAAATTAGAATATTTAATTAATATAATTTTTTAAATTAAAATATTCAATAATATAAAAATTGAGAATACCATTAAATTTGTTTATAAAATTCAGGTGCCAATTTATTCATTTGGCTATTAAAATTCCCATTATATCCATATATAAAAGGGGATTTATATATATGCATGTATATATATCTTTCCCATGAAGTAGGACCCTGGACTTGGCCCTTATTGCTGCCTACACAAATAAATCAAACGGTGTCTTCTATATACATATATATTAGATTAGATTAGATTCTCAATTTCGTGCATTGTACTATAAAAGAGGAAGGGACTGATCAATGATGATGTGGCGACAAAATGCTGAGTCAAGATCAATCTTTGTCATCAGATGCTTATGGTCGGGCATTCTCCATGCCACGTCAGGTAACTCTGGGTCCCATTTAACCAGAAGACTTTTTTCTTGGCCTAACCAAAATCCTACAGAGTATGTAGAAGAGAGAGAGAATGCAATGGACCATAATTCGTGTGGGCGGTGAGAAAAAAAAAAAAGGCACAAGACGCAAGTCCACTCCCATCAACCTTTGTTCTCCTCTCCATCTTTTAATTTTCACGTTTCATTAATTCTTAATCACTCTTTTAATTTTGATTGAAAATGCCATTCCATCAAAACTCCAAGTTATAAGATATGTTTGAGTTTAGCGGATTATTTCGGTAATATCAAAATCCTCAAATAAGGTTTTTAATATTATTATTATTATTATTAGAGTAGGGTTTTACGCTTTTAGTTTTGAATTAAGGATATGGAATTTAAATGAAATTTCTTCATGTAATTATGGAATTCTATTTTAAATTATAAGGCATCTAACAATTAATTGAATCTATTAAATTGAATAAATTCAACATAATTCAACTATTAAATCTTGGTCAATTTCGATGGTTGCCGAATATAATCAAAATCATTTTTTTTTTAGTCAATTTCATCTATTTGCTCGATGTATTGACATGTTAAACTATATATCAACTGTAGACAAGTTTTATCTCAGAATTAAAATATATATATATAGCATTAGTAGTTTTATGGTCAAAGTCATATTCGTATCATAAGATTGAATTTCAAAATTTGAGATCGAATTTGCCCGAATAATATTATGGACTATAAAATATAACTAGATCATTGAAGCAATTTTGAGTATATTTTTAGTGTAAATTATCGGTACTCTGACCCTATTACCAGAAATAGCCTAATCCGATTCAGGGCTTAATCACAATTAAGGCTCTTCACCCCTCCTTATAGGCATGTTTAGTAGGGATCGAACCCAAGAGATCTTCCTACATGTCTAGCCTGCGTTACCAATTGAGTCATAACTCATTTGAGTATATTTTGTTTTTTATTAGGCTACAATTCCTTTTATAGGTCAAGAAATTTCATTTTCACCCATAATAATATGGTGAGTATAAATGTCACGTCGTAGCTTTTAATTATGTAATTGATTGGAATAATGTAGTCGGAAATGCCGGTGTGGTTGAAAGATTGATGAATTTCAATAATTCTGAATAAGAAAGCGATTGAAGTGAGTATTAGATTCGTGCAAATCCATAATAGAATTTGGCAAACTATAACACGTACATGTCAATTTATATATAACACATGCAACTCAATTTTCAATTATTTATAAAATTAAAAAGAGAAATATTGACATGGCTAACGATATTTAAGGTCACTTCAATCACATTTATGTTCACATATTGCCGTTTAATAAGATTTGCACTATATATATTCCATAATAGAATTTTTGGCAAACTATAACACGTTACATTGTCAATTTATATATATACACATGCAACTCAATTTCTCTCCCAATTATTTTTATAAAATTAAAATAGAAATATTGACATTGCGCTACGATATTTTAAGGTCACTTCAATCACATTTATTGTTCACATTATTGCCGTTTAATAAATTTGCTATATATATATATATATTTATAATATATATAATATATATATATATATATAGGAATTCTTAAGAGAAACAAAAGGTTTTAATTCTAAAGTTAGGGTTAATTGCTTAAGTTAAATTTGTTATTCCCCTTTAATTAATTTTAGGTTCAAAATTTTTAGGGAATTCTTAAGAGAAACAAAAGGTTTTAATTCTAAAGTTAGGTTAATTGCTAAGTTAAATTGTTTTTCCCACTTAATTAATTAGGGTTCAAATTTTAAAATCGAAGCATAAAAGAGAGATTTTCTCTTTTTTCTTATAAAGTTTTCAATTTCAGTCTAAATCCTTTACTTTTAATTAAAATAAAGAGATAAATTTACAACGATGAATGAAGATTAGTCATCACATTAGCTTGTCAAAATAATTTTTATTAATATTTATATTTCTAAATTCTTCATTAAATGTGCATAAAATATATATCTACTTCGAAACCTAATAAAGTGGAGGGTGCGGAAAAAAAAAATTATGATTGCAAGTTCAATTGATATACGAATACTTCTATTTCATTAATATTTTATTCCTTTTGTCAAAAATAAAAGGTGTAAATTGTTAATAAAATCATAAATTAAAGATCTTATAGTTAATTTGATTATAATTTAAGAAACATTTTTTTAACCTTAAGATCCATTTTTAGATAAGGCTAATTTTGCATTTTCTCAGTCAATTGACAATTAAAAGAGGTTATTTCTTACTAAAGGACTAAAGTATTAATGGAATTATAATGTAATGATTTCATAATTAATTTTTGAAAATAGAGGTCCTCACTTTTAATTTAATTATAATTTAAGGATCAATTTATTTTTTTTCCTTATGTTTTTGGAGGTTGATAAATTAATTTCTAGAAAGAAGAAAAGTAATATTTTTAGTTCAATTCAGAATTAAATCTAATTTTTGTTGTGATTTTCCAAAAATAGCAATATGAAAATGACTTGCAAAAATGCCATTTTCAAAACGTAAACAAAATAGAATTAAGATGGATCACGTGCATGGAAATATTAAAAAATGTAATCTGTATGGTATTTCGATAATTTAGTTTGCATGGAGTGTATATTTATAGAGAGAGAGACGTTGGAAATTCTCTCAAAACGTGGACTTTGAAATTGTTTAGTAGTGAGAAAGATGAGAAGAATGGAAGTTAGTGGTGGGGGAATCTAATTCCTTGCCCATTTTCTTTGACAGTGTGCGGCTTTTTTGCTCACTTTCATGCCAAAAGCCAACCCTTCCATGTGTGGGGATTTCTAGTTGTAAAGGAACCTTATTTGCAGCCTTAACACATTCACTTGCCTCCTCTTCTCTCTCTCTCTCTCTCTCTCTTCCAATCACCATTTTTTTTTTATGCATCCAGAAACCTACAAGTTTTTAGGGTTTTAGTCCCCAATATTCCATCTGTTAAGAACATGTTTAGTTTAGTATATTAGTTTCAATCTTATATTTACCGATTTGCTCTAACGGAAATCTTGATCGGAACTGATGTTAACCCATTCAAACGTCGAACATTTTATTTCCAACTGCTCATTCAAATTAGTACAATTAGCCTGACCTAATTGATGCAACAAACTGATTCCAAGTACAAGTTGATTTTAAAAAACCATACCAAAAAGAAAGAAAGTCTTGGTGGAGATGCTAATTTGCAGGTCCCAAAGGAATGCAAGACATTGAAACATCTACTTTTCGTTAGTGTCTTGTAAGTAAGTTGCATGTAAAATTAGAAATTGCAGAGCTTATGGGAGAGAGGATCAAACTGCACCAGAAAAATGGCTCCCACATTAGAAACAGATGGTACCACAAGCCTGTAATAAAAGTGACTGAATTTTGATTTTTCATCTTAGGAACCTTTACTTAATAATTGCACATGCAAACTGACATAAATTTGATGCTCTATTATGTCAACTACCTACATCATTGCTTTATAGCTTCTAGGACATGGACACACTGCTCATTTTTGAAGGACCAAACCATAAAAGAGCATTAGCCATTGAAGGAACCAACTGCTAAGAAAGACTGTTAGGTAGCTGTTGGGACTGTAATTTTTGCCCTAATCCATGATGCCAAAACCCCAATCAAAGCATATTTTGTCAGCGTTTTTTCCCCTTGAACAATTAAAGTACGGATAGTTCAAAGTTGTACAGAAGTAGTACCACAACAGAAGAAAAGCAAACAATAAATCAGTATTGTTCTTACAATGGCCAGTTTGGCCCACAGCATAAATTCAGACATGTAAATAATAAAGTGCAGGACTTTCAAAAAAGAAGTAATGTATATGATAAAAAGTGAAGGGCTGGCATCTTGATACCAACAGCAAATTTTACATGATTTCTCAGCAAACTGATTAATCACACTAATGCATTATTTTACGTGTTAAGGTTTAAAAGTATCATAATTTTCACACTTAAACAACATAACTATATCAATTTAGTTTACATATTAAGAGAACCAACCAAAATTCTAACAGGTGCCAAGTTTGTACTGCACAAATCCACAGGAAATGACATCAAAACTATGATTTGTACAGGGGAAAAAATGTTCACACTCACTCGCATAAAAGGATTATCCTAAATCTCGACTCTCCACTCTCAAATATCATAAAGTTGATATAAGTCTCGACTGCATATTATTGTAAGGTTTCTCAAATGGTCAGTACTAAAACAGAATGCAATTTTGATCAAATTTTTTCTCTCAGAATACAGAAAAATCATTAGAAATGATACGTATCAATGCTTTCGTACACGATCAAGTTTCTTCGCATGCTAATCTGGTGCAAAAGTCGATTCTGAAGAACGATGTGCAAATTAAAACTATTTCCTTCCCCGGTTAAGCCTCTGCAGATGGTAATTAATGCTTCCCCAAGGTTTTCTGCTCTTGCTAGTCTGCAAGAAAAGTAATCAAAACATGTAGGAATGTTAAATAGCATCAGTGGTTGCAGAGATGATGGCAAATTCAATATAACTAAATTAATTGAATATTACCCAAGAGAACACAAAAGGAAGCCTAGAAAAGATAAATTATTAAGTTATGATATCATCACCTGAGCATCCATACAGGCATTCAAGAGATCCTTTTGCCGAACGCATTTCTCATCATTTGAGTGGTTAAGGGACAAGCAATTCAGAAATGATATCATTTCCTTCATGCAAGGTTTTGAGAGAGAGCCAAATCTCTTTGGATTGATGTATACAGTACCAGCTTTCCGACCCATTATTCCAATGTAAACTACACATGTCCAACACAGACAGTGTTATTCGAGATAATTTTGAAAAAACTGGTAGAATAAAAGCTTAGAAGTCAAGAGAAGAAAATGAATAAATAAGAATACAAGAGGCAATAACACATATAACTTCGATGAATCCAAGTAATTTCTGTTGGGAAACAAATGCACTAAATTTTGCCCATCAGAAGATTGGATAGACCAACAAAGAGCTATAGCACCTAAAATTGAAGACAATAACTCGTGAATTCCCAGTATTTGGCATTCAGTTACATAAATGTGTCAATTCAGTGCTTTATTGAAAACAACATAAAAAATATTTTGGTGTTCAAAGAATACACTCTAACATAAGTGTTTTTGGAGTTAATAAAGAACACACTCAAACAGGAAAACAGATTGCAGTTAAATTCTGCATTTCAATGACATGCCCAAGAAAGTTGCTTACTCAATAAAGCCTTGTTCCAGTATTTAAACTATTCAGAGGCAAGCAACAACGGACCCTGTTTCAGTTCCATGGAACTGATATAATGAAGTTTACTTTTGTGCATAACTTGTAAAGCCATAAATGAACCACGGTTCCCAACTGTGTGCAAGTAGTGGAACCATGTGTAAATAATGGTTAGTAACCATCGCTTCATTTGGTTTTCCAAGTGGAATAGCATAGGAATAAAATAGTTATTTCGTATAGCTCATAGCCATGGAACTATGTTGCACGGAAACAAAGAAACGTGGGAATGATACAGGGAAACAACATTTGAAATTTAACTTTACACAGGGAAATGGTATTTTATACAGGAAAATGGACCCGGAGAAACATTTCTGAAACGTGGAAATGTCCATGGCTAGGAGTTTCCGTGCATCATAGCCATGGAATAACTATTTCCCACTTATAAATGTTATCTGTATTAGAAGAATTTAATAATTATTTCACATCTAAAATTTCAATAAAACATTGAGATTGTACAATAACCATTCAATGAAATAACTGTCATGTTTAAAGATTGAATTGACAATGTGGAATAGTTGTTCCATTCCAACCCTATTCCATAACAAATTTAAGCCAGTGATGCATGTTATTAACTATTGAAATTCAACTTTCACCACAAGCGAGCTAATAGAAAGAAAGAACTCATTTTAAGAGCCCCTTAATATTTCTTACTTATGCACATCAAAATCATCCAGTTACTCAAAGGCAGCAAACAAGAAGCCTAGTTTCCTCTTCTAGTAATTAGTAACATGCAATTACTTCCATAAAGCTCATTTTTTTCACGTTAGTCCAGTATCAAATTTAAAACAATTATTATTCAAGAATGTATGATATTATAAAATGAAAACTCATATAGACGCAAGCATAAAAAAGACCAATACTCCTCTTAAGTTAACGCAAAAAAAAAAGATCTATAAAAGAACAAATTTTTTTTCCCATTTTCACCAACAAATCTCTTTTATAGTCATAATTAATTCATAAACCCATTAAAACCCCTTCTCCTCCAATGAAACAAAGAACTCATCTTTCTAGTTTAGTCCAATAACAAATCCATCTATATGGGATATGGGATGAGAAACGCTCAAACAGAAACCAAAATCAGAACAGCAGCATAAGAGAAAAACGAGAAAATTAGCGCACTTACTAATCGGCCACTTCAATCGAATTCGATATGGAAGAGACGGCCACGAGCACCTTAGGGCTTACAGTTTTCACTACGAAACTTCAAATTTCTGCTCAGCAACTTCGATTTTCACTGTAAATCGTCTTCTTCTTGTTTCTGGAACTCGGCGATTAATGGAGGATCTTAAGAGGCCCGTTTTGCTTCTGGGCCCGGAGTCCATTCATAACTTGGGCTTCATTGCTTTTCTCTGGGCTTGACTAAACTTTTGTAAGATACATGGGGCCTAAAGTTTTCAGAATCAGGGGCCGAGTGGCCTGTCAATCCCCATTATTAAACTTCCTTGCTAAAATAATTATGGGAAAATTTTAAGCTCAATATTTATTTATTTATTTATTTATTAATGATCAAATATTCAAATTTGTACAACATTTCAATTTCAATTGTTTATTTAAATTGTACTATTAATCTAGTTTTTGCATTTTTATATGGCTGACTGGCTTTTCCAGTCTTACAAATTTGATAAATTTCTACAAATAATCAAATTAATGACTCATTTAACAAAAGTTAAAGAATTCAATTAACTGTAATTGCAATAGAAAGACTGCATTTAATAATATGCTATGGAAAACCCCATAATAACTAACCTGAAAATAACAATATTTATTTCTTAATTTGAAATAAGGGTAAAGTCCGTAATAATTACATAATCAAAATTTAAAACAATGTATTGATAAATTCCCCTCTTGATTTTCATTAATCAACCTATAATTGCGTGGGAGGAACGTTTTCAAACTAGATTTCTTGTACCAAAACAAGTGTATTTCACAAAATTTTCTCTAAATGGGAAAGTGATGTGTGAAAAAAAAAAAAAAGAAGAAGGTATTTTTCAAATAAGGTTTGGAAACTTGGAAGAAAAAATTTTAGTAAGACTCAAAGAATAAGGTTTGGTAATAAGAGTAGTTAGTTCACTTCTTTAATGAGGAATACAGCTGGTATTGGGTGGCTAAGAAAACACTGATGTCTAACTGATTGCTAGCTGGCAAACTAATCAGCCCACTTGATTAGTAAGTAGGTTTTTTTTTTTTTTTTTTTTTTTAGAAAAAAAGTCAGTTAAGACTCATAAGAATAAGGTGGTTTATAGAGTAAGTTGAGTTCATTCTTTAATGAGGGAAATAACAGCTGAGTATTGGGTGGGCTATAGTAAAACACTTGATGTTCTAACTGATGCTAGCTGCATAACTAATCATGCCCCACTGATAGTAAGTAGGCTTTTTTTTTTTTTTTTTTTATGTTTTCAAACAATTTTTTTTTTTTTTTTTTTTTTATGTTCAAACAAAAGACATTAATTTTTTTATAAATTTTATAATTTTAATTCTATGACATCTTTAAATACTGAATTCATTGGATGTTACTAGTATTTTTCTATTTCGTAACATTTAATATTTAAAAATTTAATATTGCACTTGATATATATATCCTTTATATATATATAAAAGTTTTAAAGTTAATTTATGTTCAGTAATTAATATGTTCAATGTATATACACAAAGAAGTTTGACGCTCTTTTTATTTATTATTCTATATTTATTTATCATGAAGTTTTTAATTTTTTTCTATATTTTGATTTGACCACTTAATATCTTTTAATTCAAAAAATAATATTTACTTATGCCTATATATAAATATAGATAAATATGAATATATAGATATTTCCATATAAATATATAAAAGTAGAAGCACACTCGATTACGTAATTATAATATCCAAACATTGATGTGCTAAGATAGCAAAAGGGGTGATGATTTGGCAAATAAATGATTTTTATGTTACCTTTTAATTTTAATTTTTTTTCTTTAAAAATTACTTGAGTTAACATTAATATTTACATCTTCAATAATATTCGATAATTTAAGATTTTCATCAATCAACTAAATAATTAGTAATATCATTAATATATTTCAAATAATAAAAATTTTATCTTTCTTTTTTTACTAATTTAATAATATTAAATGTTCTTCCATTTTTTTACAAATTAAATTAATAATTTATAATAATCATTAATATCATTTCAATTATTTAATGATTAATAAAATTAATAATATTATTATTAATAAAAATTTCAAAAAAAAAAAGAAGAAAGTTGTAAAGTGAATATGAATAGAACAGAGTTGGCAAGAAAAATTATATTGTGTTTTTTTTTTAATTTTATTTTTCAATTTAAACATTAATTGAGTTAAAATTAATACTAATATTAATAAAAATACTTTTTCAGATTTTTCAAGAAGTAACTACATAAAATACCATCATTAACATTATTTCAAAAAAAAAAGATAACTAATGAAATTAATGAAATTAATAAAATTATTTAAAAATTCATTAATAAAATTTAAAAGTTATTTTCTTATACTATTGCAAATTTGTAAAATGAATATGAAACAATATTCACAATTTTGGAATGTAAAGATAAGAACACAGATAAAATTTCTATTTAAAATTCTAAAATAATAAAATAAAATTAATGCAAATGATTTATTTTGATTTCCTGAGTGTCATATAATAAGGCAAAAATAAACAATACTGGAAATGGGAATGAATTTAGGTTTTTAATTAATAAAAAAACAAAAAGAATGGGACAAAAGTTCAAAGATTATATTCCTCCAACTGTTGTTGTGTTATAATCTTTTTTTCTTTTCTTTATTGAAGAAGATGAATTTATCCATACACATTACAAAGGGTAATCCAAATTCCAAGTCACCCTGAAAATTTATCACCAGAAACTTTAACTTAAAAATTAAAAATTTGCCATTCATTCCCATTTGTAATAGCCAAATCCCAAATCGCCAAAAAGATTTTGGGTTTGTGCAGACAAATTCCACCGAACTTTATAATTGTTTGGTCCTCTACCTTTCCTCTTGTTCGTTCTCAAATTAAAATTTTCAGATTTTTTGAATTGGATTTTCCAGATATAAATTTTAAATCGCTTATATTTTAAGAATTTATTTTTCATAATTTTATAAAATAATATTTACTTTCCACATTCCAAAATATATTTAAAATTAAAAAAAATTAGTTAATATAGTTTGAATAATTGATTTTAACTATACTTTTTCTAGTATTGAACTTATATTAAAATCAGACGTCATTGCTCATGAAAAATTAAAAAAATTATTGATAAAGGCATATCAAATAACAGTGTATAAAATAATAAAAAAATAATTTATTTTTTTAAATAAAATGATTTATAATTTCGGGCAAATAAAAAGAAAACCTATATTTTTTAAGCCTCAGAGTGTGTATATAAGAAAACCCTATATTTTTAAGCCTCAGAGTGTGTATATATAATATATATATATATATATATATATAATATATATATAAATTATCACATATATATTATCACTATTGCTGAAATTGAAGGAGCAACTGATGATTGACGCTCCAGAAAATGATTTACCAAAGTTTAAGAAGAATAGAAAATAACAAAACTCCAAAACCGGAAGTAATATTGAAGGGACCCAATAATTGACTGGAAGAATGGACCGCTTCTGGATTTTGGTTTTTCTAATCAAAATCCAATATAAACGCAGCATCTGCCTTCTGCCATTTCAAATTGTATACGTTGGAAAATTTTAAAATCAGAATTTCAAATTTCGAATATATAAAATAATAGGATGATAGGACTTTTAGACGTGCAGATTGCAGAAAGGAACGGATACTTGTTTGTGCGGGCAACTTTCCGCCGAATCGCGTGATAACAATGACATTTCTTCTTGTTTAGGTAATTGCCTAAAAATGACTCTTAATCACAAATAATGCTAATTAAACATTCATTTTGGCATTTTTAACTCACCACTTAATATATTAATTGTTTGTTGACTGTAGACTACTAGACCCAAGACCACTGGCAATTGCCTATGTATTTTCAAAAAAAAAAAAAAAAAAAAAAAAAAAAAAAAAGCTAAAGTATATATTTTTGGTCAAAAATTTTGCAATATTTTAAACTTTATAGAAATATATTATGTTCCTCGGATTTTAAAAAATATGGTAAATTTATGTATTAAAATTGAAACATTAAACATTAGTTTTCACTAATATACATTAGTCTGAATTAAATGGACTCGGTCTCTTAAATAAAAAATTAAATATTCAATTAAATTCTGGTTGCGACCAATTTCCACTTATTGGCATATATCGGTCAAGCAATATTAGACCCAGTACTGATACAAAAGGCTCTATTTTATTATGCTTGAATTCAAATATCTAAAGAGAAATTTAAATTTAAATTTTTTTTCTTTATTTTCTTATATTTTGATTTGACCATTTGAGTTATTTTGTAAGTTTAAACCGAATTTTTATTTATAATAATTATGTATATACACTAAAACCGACAAAAATTAAAATTTGGCATTTTTTAGTATTTTATAATCCCTTTTAAGAAATTTTTGGATTTTTATATTTTAATGGACCATTTAAGATGATATACTCTTAAGAAAAAAAAAAATTTACACCCACCCTTTGGACCTTTCAACAAATAAAAACAAAATGACTGAAAGACAAACTTAATTAATACTTACATCTATGTCAATTAAAAAAAAAAAAAGTAAAAACTAAAAGGAGTATCCAATAAATTCAAAATTAAGGTTGCATTTATTTCAGTAAAATAATTTAAAAGATAATATTTTTCAAGACACCATTTTGACAAAACATTACTCTCTTTTAAGAAAAATAAAATTATTTTTAAGAAAAATTATCTCTTTTCAAGACAGAAAAATATTTTGACAAAATTTATTATAATTTTATAAATACATATTTTTTAATTTATTAATCACCGGTGACCACTATCATCGGTCGCTGTAGGCTACCATCACCAGCCAGAGATAATTTTTATAATTTAATATTTTTTTTATATTTAATAATTTAATATTTTTTTTTTATATTTAATAATAAAATTATTAAAATTAATAGAAATTTTTAATTATTTATGAATATTTTTTATAGGTTTTATAAGTAAAGATTTTTTTTTTGAATATTTTTTAATTATGAATATTTTTATAGTTTTATAAGTAAAGATTTTTTTTTTGAAAAATATTTTTTAATATAAGTTATTTTTTGAAAATGAAAAGGGCAGAACCAAAAGATCTCGGCGCCTTTAGTCCAACAAAGTAAAAAAAGGAAAAGATAGCGAAAAAGTTCTGTCATATCAATAAAATAAAATAGATTGATTTCGGTATAAGTTTTTTTGCCATATTAATAAAATAAATTGAATTTACTGATAAAAAAAAAAAAAAAGGGAAAAGTTTCTGTTCTAATTTTCAACTCCCAATATTCTACGCCGAAACAATGCATCACAAAGAAAAGAAAGATGAACTTCACGGCGTTAGCTGGATACCATTTCTATGCACAAGCCTTCATTTTCCAATTTTACATTTCAAACTTTCACATGCTTTTATATTTACTAAAATCAGCACATTTTTTCTAATATTTCTTATTACGAGTTTGAGTTTTTTCTTTTTTTTTTTTTTTTCAAAGATTATTTAAAAGATATTCTATTCATTAGACATTGTTGAATTCAGTGAATTGCCATTTCTGGTTCATTGAACTAGCAATTTTAGGCCTCGAAGGCTCGAACCGGAACTAGCCTGAGCTTGTTTGCTCTAATTCAAATGCCGATACCAATTTTATGTTGTTTCAATTTTTTTTTTTTTTTAAAAACTAAAAACAGTTTGTGTCTAATGACTCAAACTGATTCCGGTCATTTTCGGCTAGTTTCACCCGATTTCAATCATTTCTAACCAATTCTGATTTCTTTCCAATTTCAAAAATAAGAATTGAAACTAGTTTGTGTCTCTTTGATTTTGGTCCGACTAAAAATTGAGTGGATTCTGATCTAATTTCGTTCCAAACCAAATCAATGGCTAGTTCTGCCATTCACATATTTATTTGAATGAAATATAAATTATTAATGTCAAGACAAGGGAATATAAATAAATAAAAGTAAACACTAGTGCTATTAGCTCTAGCTGAAAGAAGGAATAAAATTAACAGTGCCCTTAAATTAATAATTACAAGCAAAATCCAATTCACCACATGAATAATTATTTTTACTGAGGAGTTATTTTAGCTTAGGAGAAATGAACATGGCAGAAAGCAGATTAATACCCCACGAGTCCCCAACTTGACATAACCATCATCTTAGCAACAATAATGACACCATTTGTCAGTTTGCCTTGAAATTCTCAAGGTTCCATACCCAGCAAATGTTTCAGATTGGCCCAGATTGAAATAAAAAACACCAAAAAAAATTTCAAACCATCAACGCATTACTGAGATTTAAAAAAATAAATAAGAAATTAATGGACTCAATTCATGTTAATTGAAAAAACAAAAAAGAAATTAAAATTATTTTACATCAGGGCTTCTTGTCTAATGGACTGAATGCCGTAGGGGAAGAAGCCAATGGAAGTACCTGAGATGAACTAGAAGGGTATTGTGGAAGATGATGATGTTTAAAAACATCTCTTTCTTTGTTTCTACTAACAATAAAGCCCAAAAAAGACCCCTCTGCTTCCTCTGCTAATAAGATTCTTGAATCTTGATTTCTTGAATCTTGAACAGAAACATTTGTATTTTTCAAAGCTCTTTCTTCCATTAATCTTTTATAAAGTTTATCTTCAGCATCTCTTAAGAATTTGAATTTTGGAGGTGGAGAAGATCTAAGCCTGTGAGTTTCTGCATCCATTGATGATGATTCAAAGAGAGGGTTGAATCCATGGTGATTATAATAATCTAAAGCGTTTAAAGGTGGGGACTTTAATTTAGGAGAAGCTAAAGGGGTTAAAAAGGGGGTATCAACACTTAAAATAAGATCACTTAAGCTTCTTGTTCTTGAAGCTTTTCTGCTTCTATCACCTCTTGATTTCCCATCATCAGATTCTAAATCTTCCTTTGTTTCCTCTTTAATTGTGAAGAGAAATCTTGGAGGGCCAGAGAGATTGTGCAGTCTCATAAGCTCTGACTCTACACTTTCTTCACCAAAAGCTTTTATAAGCAAATCTTTGCTTGTGCCTAATTCCAAGTCTTGTTGTTCTTGCAGACAATGGTCCATTGGGTCTCTTATCTGGGTATTAGTGCTATTGCCTTGCAAATGAGAAGTGTGTTTTTTCCAACAAATTAGATGAAAGAATTCTTTAGCATAGTTGCTGCTGTAATCTTCATTTTCTTCAATTTCTCTATTAGCCACTCTCTTTTTCCAGAATAGCAAATAATAAAGCTCTGCCACAAGTGCTAAAAGAAGACAACCAAAAACTAAGCTTAAACCAATTCCTAAACCACTAAAAGATCCCATTTGTCACCTGAAAATTCACATCCCCAATTAATATAGGCTTCAAGGCTCTCAAATGTTTTTCTTTTTGAAAAAAGAAACCCTGGCAAGTGAAATTTCACTGAGAATCAAAACCCATCGAGGAATTAATGTAATGAGTTCTGATTTCTGCTAGAAAACACAAACCCAGAAACCAAAAAAGGACATTGTTAGGGAAACTGACCAAATCAAGGAACAAAAGGTAAAAAGGAAACCTTCAAAACGTTTTCAAACCACCACAGTAAGGAAAATAATGAGAAAGCAAGAGAAGAGCAAGGGATATAGTCTATAGATACATTTTTGTCTAAAGCAAGCAAACCTAGAAATGCAGAGATACAGAAGAGAGAGAAATCTTGAATCTTGTACACAAATTGGGGCTAAAGGGTATGGCCAAAATCCTATACAATGTTTTTGTGTGAGGAATTTAGTTGGAAAGGGCACTTCACATGGGCTTGCAAAACCGTGTGTGCCATTTAATCATTGGATATATATATATCTATAATATATATAAAACTCCTACTGGAAATGAAATATTACATCGTACAAAATCCTATTTTAAGTTTATGAATTAATTAAAATATTATTAACTATTTTAACTTGCTTAGTTGAAATTTTTTTATTTAAAATAAAAAATTATATTATATACTATGTATGTTATTGTGGAGGCCAACTCATATATTAAATATGATAAAATATTGCTCCAAAATATGATAATAATGTAATATCTTTAACATCTTTAACTATTTTAATTTGATTGCTTGAAAGATAAAAGTAATTTAATTTAATTGGCTATATTAAATTTCTATTTAAATTTAAATTCTTTTAGATAAAATAAAAAATTATATTACATACAAATACAGTAAAAATATAATATTTTTAAAAATTTTAATTTTATTGATTAAAAATAAAAAAATTTTAATTTTCATTAGTTAAATCAATCTATATATATATATATATAATCCTGAAGTAAAAAAATAAACTCTACAAAGCTAACTTTGACACTCTATCCTTCAAACTTTTCTTTTTATCTTTTTTTTATAAATTTTCTAACTTTTTTAATAACTTTTTGAATATTTTCTTTTTTCTTTTGCAAATTTAATCTAATCTAATATTTAATAAGCAGATAAAATCTAAGTTAATTTAATTTTGAAATCTAAGTTAAATTTAATTTTGAAATCTAATCTTACCTCTTATTATCAATCAACTATTCTCCTTCTGATTTTTGTTTCTCCTATAAGAGGAGTGACATTTTATTGGAAATTTATAAAATATGTATGTTTAATTCTCTATATTCAGGTACTCTTTTATCCTATAAGAGGAGTGACATTTTATTGGAAATTTATAAAATATGTATGTTTAATTCTCTATATTCAGGTACTCTTTTATTTTATTTTTGTTTCTTTCTGTATTCATGTATTCTTTTACTTTTTTTTTATTTCTTTCTATATTCAGGTGCTCTTTTAATTCTTTCTTGCTTTTTTTTCTATTCAAGTGCTTTTTTACTTATTTCTTGATTTTTATTGAGAATTCAATTTATCTTATTATCACAACAAAAGCCATTGATGAATCAACTAAATCTGCAAAGAGTTTCGTGAGGAAATTTTGGCCTTTGAGTGACTGTTTAGTTCAGCTGGTGTTTTAAAAATCATGGCTTAATATGCACTTGTACCTTGAACTTTGGAGTTTATTACACTTACACCCTAATTTAAACTTTGTGACAACCATACCCTAAAATGAATGGTTGAGAGCGCTAACACCCTAAAATTAAATTAAGGGCTAATTAGAATAAAAAAAATTACATTTTCATGGGATAGACAATGAGAAATATCATATTAACATAATTATATTTTGATTTTGCTGGTTGGTTCAAATTATAAAGCTAAACTAATTAAATGAATTTTTTAGTTTAAATAGTATATTATATGATATAATAATATATATAATATATTATATATATTATATATTTGAAGCATAATTCTGGAGTAACATACGCGGGTATATTTTGAAGATAATGGAGTAAACATAGCGGATTTTAGTTAAAACATAAAATTCTAAACATGCATAAATTGTTCCAAATTCATCAAATCCTAGGAATAAAATGAAAGAAATCAATATACTAATTTTGAAGCCACTATCCGAACTCAAAATGCTTTCTATAAATTATCTGCTTTCTATGAAAATAACATTTGAAATAATAAATGATGCTCTCAAATGATAGATGAGAGTTATTTTAAATTAGATTTTGTTTCCTATTCAACGTTACTGTTTCAAATTTGGGTTTAAGTTCTGGTTAAATTAACCCAAGCTCAGTTGTGGGTTCCATGAAAATATATTTTTATTGCTAATCAACCCTTAATTTAATTATGGAGCTAAATACTCTCAATCTTTCACTTTAAGATGTGATTGTTGCAAAGTTCAAATTAGAGTGTAAGTGAAACAAACTTCAAAGTTCAGGTATAAGTGTATGTAAGCCAAAAATCATTGTAACAAGATCTTACAAAAGAAGGAACTCCATATTGATTAACAACCATTAGATTTTTATTTTCTATCTCTTATAATATTTATTTCTACAATTGGTAGAATTATTGTTGAATTGTATATTTTATTTTCTAGACACTATTTTCAATTTTTATTTTTTCTTTTATGATATTTATTTATATAATTGGTAGAATTATTATTGAATTGTATATATTATTTTTTAGACACGATTTTCTTTTAGTGTAGAACAAAATTCAAAAATTTTGCGTTATATACCTAATAGGTAGTTACATCCTAATATAAATTCTCGCGATAACAATAATATAAAACTTACCAACAAAATATGGTATTTGTACATTTAATTCTTAGAATTACTATTGAAATTTAAATAACTGCTTCTTTAATTTATTGATATTTTAATATTTAAAGTTAATAAAATTTTTAAATGTGGAATTAAATTAAAATTTTTGTAATTCTTAAACATTAATTCTTAAAAGTTATGGAGATTATGAAATAATATAAATGCATTAAAATTATGAAATAATATAAATGCATTAAAAATATTTTATAAATTATAAATTATTATAAACTATAAAGTACAATATATAACAATAAAATAATCCGTGCAGTGTCCGGGCCTGCGCCTAATTTTTTATTTAAATCTAAATTACGTTGAACAAAAGAAGCAATAGTAATATATACTAAATAAGTTATATATTAAATAATATAAAAATTTAATTCAATAAAATAGAAAATCATGTAATACATTAAATATAGTAAATAATATAAGAATTCAATTCGATAAAATAAAAAATTATATTATATATTAATATATACTTTAAATATAGTAAGAATGCATGAATTGAATTTGATATTTTGGTAATATTTAATTTGAACAAGTGATTAAATAATGAAAATTTGGTAAAAATAATTATGTTTAAACCATAAAAGTTCATCCTTATCCTTTTCTTCAAAAAGACAAAAAAAATCATCCTAATCCTGTTATGTTATTAACTTTTTCTTATTTTTTAATTTACTTTAGTAGAATAACGGTAAATATGTTTAATAAATTATAATATTTTTAATAATTTAATTGCTTATAAATTAAACTAAAAATATATATTATAATTAGTAAAAACTATTTCATAGGAAATTAACTATTTTTATTAGAATAAATATATTTTTTATTAGTATAGTAAAAGAATCCTATTATAAGGAATATTAATTAATTTGCACAATAAATTTTTTAAACATTCTTCCTTCATACATGCTTCAAAATGTTACTTTATGTTATTTTGGGTTTTATCTTTGTTTATGTTGATTAACCTAATTTTATTTTATTTTTACAATTCTCGCAAATATCAAGACTTACTTATCTACATATTAAAAACTTTCAAAAAATTGAATTTATTCAATAAATTAGGGTTTCTTATAACATTGTATATAATTAGATTTGTTTCATTTCATTTATAATGTATAGCTAATTATAATTATTCAGTCTCAAACAAGTATATATATAAAAGAATAATAAATATAATTCAATTAAAAGAATTAAAAACTTAATATTTATTATTTAAATTTATTATTGTACTTCCAATAATAGAATATAAGATTAGGATGAATATCTTAATTATGAGTTATTTAGGAATCATAATTATGAATTATTGAATGCTTTTCTTTTTGTCATTTTATTTTTTAATATCAAAGGTACTATTTTTATTGAGTTATTATTATTTTTATTTTTTCACATTATTTTAAATCATTAATTTTTGTCTTTTCATTCCATTTCATTAATTTTGGTATAATGTTCATTGACTTTTTTATATACATATTATAATCTTTATACTAAAATTTTAAATAAAAAATACCTAATATGTTTATCTTTTTTCTCAATTATTTATTATCATTTTTATTATTATTATAAAAGCACTTATCAATTATATTAAATAAAATTATCTATAACGAGTACTAACATTCAATGCACATCATTAAATACTAGTATAAAATAAGATGAGAAAATTTTACTGCATTCAATCGTAATATTTTACCATATAGTCAGCAAATAAAAATTTATCTTATTTTGGTTATTTGGTTGAAGATTATAAGGCTTTGTCAGGTACATTTTATTAATAAATGAACCAATCAAGTAACTAGTTGAATGTCTAATGAGATAGAATGCACTGTATACATCCTCTTTTTATCCTAATTGGTGCTGTCCATCTTGATTTAAATAATTTAAGAATTTTAAATTCTAAAAATAATTTGAAGTATTAAACTTATTGGTATTGTTTTTTGAGTGGTAAGCAAATTACTATACTTAAAATCTCCTTTTTAATAGTAGAGTAATTTAATTGAGTTTGATTCCAATGACCAGATGTATACTGAATAATACGTTCTTTACCATTGATTACTTGTTTTAAAATGCCACCATATCCAACATTAGAAGTATCAGTTTCAACTATTTTAAATGCGGTTGGATGCGGAATATAAAGATATGGTAAGTAGTCTCGATTTTTTTACACGTAAAAGAATAAATTTCTAAAAAATAATTTTTTAAAAATTATTATTTTAAAATTAACATTGCAGTTAAGGTATCAACACTTGAGATTGTATGAAAAAATAATAATTTTGAAGAATAAATTTATTTTCATATTACCGATGGATGTTTAGAAATTAAAATAAAATTAGTCATAAATATTTTATTTATGAAAACTTGGTAATTAATTTATATAAAACTAAAAAAATAAGTAAATTTCAATTAAGTATCTAATAAGACAATATTTTTTTTTCGTACGACTCATTTGAATTCAAAGTAATAAAAAGAAGAATTTATATCAGCAAATAATATATTATAGTATAATAAATGTATTACATAATAAGACGACATATATATAAAAAATTATAAGCTTAACTTATCACTAGTATGTTAATAATTAAATTAAAAATTATTTCTTTAAAATAGTTAATTAAAGTGGTTTTTCATATTTCTGTCA